CGGGGGCCAGTCCCCGCCCGGCCAGCCGGCCTCTCCCGGGGAGTCGAGCGGCTGCGCCCCGGCTCCGGACCCCAAGGCTTGCAACTGGAAGAAGTACCGCTTCATCGTCCGCAGCTCCCTTCCCTGCGAGGGGCGGCAGGCCCCGCCCGAGCCCCCGCGCCCGCCGGGCAGCAGCCCCGGCGCCGGCAGCCGCGAAGAGGCGAAGGCGCCGTGCAGGTCAGGACTGGGGGGGGGGGCGTTTGGGAGGGCCTCTTGTGAGGAAGCAGAGCGGGAGGGCTTGGCCGGGGCAGGCGGCAGAGTAGGGACTCTGCACACGCTTCAGGGATGAACTTAGTGTTGGGGACGGTGCCCCTGCACATGTCCAGAGTGCCTCTCTTTAGTTCTGCCGTGCGCTTGGCACGCAGCCCCTGCACACATTTCTCATTATGGGAACACACCTCCGTGCATGTGCAGAGTTCTATTCCAGTCCTTGCCTTGCAGTTGCATGCAGCTTCCTTCCCCTGGCCATGTGCTGGACTACAGATCCCATCCCCGGACCCAGCACAGGCTGTGTGTAGTTCTTCATATGTGGCAGTTGGCATGGAATTGTCGTTGGGGGCTTTGGCTTGGGGTTTTTTTCATGGTTTTTCATGGTTATGGTCTCTGGTGCCTTTTAAAAGCTGCACAGAAAGCAGAAATTATGGAAGTGCAGAACTTCCTCAGACAGAGAGGCACCTGCTGCATTTCTGCCTGACATATTTGTCTCTCTCTGTGTGTGTATGTATCACATCACTTAGCTGCAAACTTCTCCCAGACAGCCCCTGCCTGAAAACGTAAAATCTATAAAACCATGGCATACAAGGAAGAATGGATGGGGAGGGCAGAGGAAAAAAATTGGCCTAATGACTGAAGGCCGCTGAGGCGAAGGCAGAACGAGCTTCATCTTGACTAGGCCAGCCCTGGATTCCTCCCGGGGGTGACTCACTTCCATCTTCCTTCCTGCAGGCCACGTTCCCCTCAGCCCTGCTGCTCCATCTGCAACCAGCCGCCCCCGCAGCTTTGCTCACATCCTCCGCAGGACGCTTCCGAGGGCCAGAGGCACCCCTGCAGCGCTGGTGAGTCGGGGGGGGGGGCAGCAACGGGTGGCTGGTGTGCCGGACACGTGGAGCCTGCGTGGCCAGACAGTGGCCTTGCAGGGGGGACGCTGGACCCGGGGCAGCTCAGCAGTGTGTCGCTGCCACAGGAACTGGCATGTGTGATTTTAGGTTGCTGCATCACAGGTGCGGCTCCGAAATCACAGGAAGAACCGGTTCCCCTCCATTGTGCTCTTTCTGGGCCTCCCTTGAATCCGGTGTGCATTTCAAGAAGGGTTCGGATAACTGGAACACCTCCAGAGAAGGGCAGCAAAGTTGACCGGAGGCCCGAAACAAAGCCCTGCGAGGAAGGGAGGGGGGCGCTGCACTTTTCACGCCCTTCCAGAGAAGGGCCGCATCCTGCTCTCTCATCCAGGACGGCAGTGCACAGCGCGAGGGATTTCCGTTGCAGGAAGGCCGGCTGCAGCTTCCCAGCGCTCGGATCAGGCCCGCCGTGGCGCGCGCGGTGCGGGAGGCGGTGGACTTTCCACGCCTCGGGTCTCTCGGCCGCGAGTGGATGCGGGAGTCTGGGATCAGGGGTTCAACCGGGTGGCTCAGCTGTTTTGCCTGGGGTGGCCCACGGATTGTACTGGGGACCTGAGCTGAGCGCAGGTGAGGACAGGATGGCCTTGAAAAAAAATGGATGACAAATAAACCGTTATCTGTGATTCGTTTATTACAATAAATGGGGTGGGTCAGGGAGGCCCATGCACTGCACGAAAGGAAGTCTTGCAGGTGCAGCTGCAATGCCTGTATTGGTTAGTGCCTCTGGGCATGGGCAGAATGCCCGTGCCTCCCCCGCTTCCAGCACCCCAGGCTCTCCGGGCGCAGGGAAGGGGCTGACGGCGTCTGACGTCTTGCTTGCCAGGAACTGGCGCCTGCGACTGCAGACCCTGCGAGCTGCGGTACCTCCGCGAGGAGGAGGAGGAGGAAGGAGGAGGAGGGGGTGGCGGGGCCCCCCCAGCAGCCCCCACTGCAGAGGAGAAGCCGTACAAATGCCACTTCTGCGACTCCGCGTTCCGCTACAAGGGGAACCTCGCGAGCCATCGGTTTCTGCACACAGGTATCTGCATGCCGCCCTGCCGGCTTCAGGCCAGAGAAAAGCGTTCCTCCCCATTTGTGGGGGTCACGTCCACTAGGGCAGAAAGGAGGGGCCTCTCCCTCTACGGTGGTCCCTGGCCTGGAACTTCCCGATCCGGGGAACTGAGCAGCGTCTCCTGCAGCCAGCAAAGGCCTTTTAGCATCGAAGCCTTTCTTGCCCAAACGATCACGGGCCACGTTCTGCTTTCCCCTTCCGTCAGGCTGGCTTGCGGTGTTTTCTTTTGCTTTCTTCAAAGGCAGGTTATGCTCGTCCTGTTTTAAGGACTGTGTCTTTACACTGCCATTATGTTGTGCATCGCTTCAGGCAGCTGCTGTTAGAAGAAAGTGACGGCTGTATAACAGCATTCCGAATACCATCTTCCGATGTTTAATGCCACGGAAGGAATTTTTTCCTGATCCTTCAAACACACCACCGAACAACCGGCCTCCAGCCCTTCAGAATTGCCTGTCAGATGGCGGGGGGCTGGAATCCAGTTTTTCTCGGGCATGTTCGGGGTCGGGGAAGACAGCTCCAGCTGCATTAAAGATTTAGCAAGCTCTCAGAGGAGAAAGTCTGTGCCTTTGGCACACTAGGAGCTTCTCAGTGTTACCGTTGTCGTCGTTACAGCCAGTCTAGCCATAAGAAAGGGCAGGGGACCGAGTGTCCGCACCACGGCGGGGCAGTTTCTCCTGCTTCCTTGGCAAATAGCTAGCCTGGGCCCCGATCCAAACGGCTCACGGTGCCCCCTCCTCCCACTGTCAGGAGAGAAGCCATATCGCTGCGGGATCTGCGGGGCTCAGTTCAACCGGCCGGCCAACCTCAAAACTCACCTGCGCATCCATTCTGGGGAGAAACCCTACAAATGCGAGACGTGTGGGTCACGTTTTGTGCAGGTAAAAGGGGGCCAGAGGAGGCAGCGTCCTTCTGTTTGGGTTGATTGGTGGCAAAGGAACCCACGACGCTGGCTCTCTGCACGCTTCCAGGGGCCACTGCCTGCCTTCCTGTCGTTCGAGCAGCTATAGGGAGACTCTCTGCCCTTTCCAGATGTTTGGGACTACAGTTCCCATCCTCCGGCCCCGTGGGGCTGCCAGCGTGCTATATAACCATGCCATTTCCCCCGGTCTCTCCCTCTTCCCCACACTGCTGCTTGCTTGGTGTTTTCCCGGCATCAGTGTGGCTTTTTCTCTCTTCCAAAAGGCTGAAATGTGGCTGCACCACTCTAGCATTTTAGGTCTAATGTTGGCACCCCCCCCCCCACATTGGCCTTTGCCCCCCACTAGAATGCAGCCCCCAAGAACTTGGCCCCGAGCGGACACCCCGTGCCCCTGGCATGCCCACCCAGCCGCCCCTTGCAAACGGCGCACAGATGCTCCCAGGAGCAGCCAGAAGTGGCGTTCAGAGCCGCGCGAAGGCCACCCCGACGCACCCCGGGGCGTTTGGCCTCGGCGGGGCGAGGCGGGCGCGGCCACCCTCTGCCTGCCTTCCAGGTGGCGCATCTGCGGGCACATGTCCTGATCCACACTGGGGAGAAGCCGTACCCCTGCGGGACGTGCGGGTCACGCTTCCGGCACCTGCAGACCCTCAAAAGCCACCTCCGCATCCACACGGGAGAGAAGCCCTACCAGGTGAGCAGGCGAGGCAGGCTTGGCTCCCACCGCGGACCCCCCAGGGGCTGTGGGGAACGGGAACGGGGTCCTGGTGGTGCGCGATTCGTCCCTCACTGTGTGCAGTGCGTGGGGTGCAAGGTGCGTGAGGTCTGGAGCCAGGTGTCTGAGTCATAGTCCCACTATTCTTGGGACTTCCAGGTTGGGGAACGGCACCCAAGGAGACTGGGAATAGGAATGAAAGAACGGTTTACAGGCGGGTACGAGGTGGGAGCATTCCTGAGAGGCGGCATCTGCAGGAGACAGTCCTGCCCCACCAAGGGTTAACTAGGCTGTGCTTCAAACAAAGGAACAAGAATTCCAATATGGGCCAGGAGAGCTGGGTGGTCCCATTGTGAGTTTGGAGAGAGGTGGGAACTCCCAGACTCCTGGGTCACCTGGGACTCCGTGACAAAACCTGAAATGATGTGTCCTCACAACAGCCCTGTGAGGTGGGCTAGGCTGGAAAGAGCAGCTGGCCCAGGCCACCCAGTGGGTGTCATGCCTGCCTGGGGCTTGAGCCCAGATCTTGGCCGCCCCCCCCCTCCAATATTCTCTGCCGCTAATCATTAATGATCAATCTCATTTAATGGTTACAATGCCTTCATTTCTGTACTGCCCCGTGGCCAAGCCCGGCTGTCTTCCGGCGCCCTCCCGCTCGGGCCCCGCGGCCCACGGCGGTGGCCCTGCTGCATGCGCCTGGAGAGCTGGGGGTCCCGGCGGGGAACTGGGGCCGCCCGTCGCGCTGGCGGCCGCTTGACGTGCTCTCTTTCGGCAGTGTGAGAAGTGCAGCATGCACTTCCGCCACAAGAGCCAGCTGCGGCTGCACCTGCGGCAGAAGCACGGCGCCGTCACCAACACCAAGATCCGCTACGAGGTGCTCGGCGGGCCGTACGCGGCTCTGTGCTGAGCGGGAAGCCCCTCTCCGCGTGCCGGATGGCCCCGGCGGAGACCGAGGTCCGGATCGCTCGGCGTCCCGCTCCTGCAGGATCGGATGCCGCGGGTGCCGCCTTCTCGCCTCCGGCTTTTGGGGTGGGTGCCGTGTTGGCTTTGTTTCACATCCTCTCGGTCAAAACAGTGGAGACCCAAATTCCGAAATTCAGTTGCTTCAGCCAGTTTTAAATGCTTAAATTTGGAATGCTTTGTTGCAGGTTTCAGCAAAGATGGGGTGTGCGTGGGGGGGGGGGAGGTACGGCGTGAGAAAAGCCCCTTTCCTGCAAACAAGGGGGTCCCAGAAATAGTAGCACAGCTCTCATGTACCACATGTCTTGCAAAATCCAGTCAAGTCAACTCCCTAAAAGTTTTCCCCACCCAAGTGCCTTCCAGAGGTCTTGGACTCCAACTCCCAGCATCCCCAGCCAGCACAGTGATGGTCCAGCACCTCTGGAGGGCACAGATCGGGGGTGGGGGCTGCCCTGGAATGAGAGCGCTGGGCCACACGCCTCACTTGGAAGCGGAACGGGGTGCGGAGACGGTGTAAGCAGCCGCCGACTCTGCAGGCAGAGTGGAAAATGGCCTCTTTTCGCCACCTTCGGCCCCGTTTTGGATTAAGTCTGCAGGGACCAGATTGTCACCCCTTTGCACCCCGATGTCTGCCTGCCCCCCCTTTGGGAAGCGGCAAAGTGCAGCGCCACCACTGCAGAAGGGCATCGGGGGCACTGAGGTCCCGGAGCAGCTCCTGGGAGACCAGAAACTCTGGCCTGCTGGTTGTCTGGACTTCAAATCCCATCAGCCCCAGCCAGCAAGGTCAGTGGGAAGGGGTTGCTTATGTAGAACCAGTGTGGCGTAGTGGTTAGCGTCTTGGACTGGGGGTTGGGAGACCTGGGTTCCAGCCACGAAGCTTCCGGAGAGACCAACTCTGAGCCTGATCTACCTTCCAGGGTTGGCGTGGGGCTAAAATGGAGAGGAGGAGGAGGGTTATGGACGCCACCTGGGGTTCTTGGCAGGAAAAGCAGCACGATATAAATGTAATAAATAAATCGGTCGTGGCTGGGGTTGCCCAAGCCTCAGGCTGCCCCTGTCGCCTGCCCCCGGCGCACCAGCAGCCAGCCCCCGGCAAGGAAAGCCCCTTTCCGCTCCACGTTTCCCCGAGCCTTTTCAGGGCGGGGGGCCCAGGCCCGAGCCCAGCTCTCTGCTCGGGCCAACAAGCAGCCGGACATGCCGGGAGCGCCGCAGCGCCCACGCAAAGCCAGGCGCGCCGCCCGGACCTCCGCTAGCCGGCCACTTCGCTTGCCCAGCTGGGCTTCGAATCTGGCACGGCCTCTCCCAGTGCCTGTGCCCTCTCGAACCACACTCCCACCGTCCCCATCCAGCGTGGTGGGAGCTGTGATCCGGCACTCCGGGAAGGCGCCCGGGTGGGGAAGCCTGGCTGAGAGGGCTTTGTAAGGAGAACCGCTTGCCTTTCGAATGTTCTGAGAGGATGCCTGTCCGTCTGTCCTGTCCTTTCTCGACATTATTTTGCTGGCCAAATCCATCCCGTGTCTGTTCCCAGCACTGCGACTTCGTCATCCCTGTCTTGCCCGTTCGCACTGCTGCTTCTGATGCTGCCCATGAACGTGGCTGGGGGCCCTTTGGGGACGGATCCGGAACGAGGCCTGGAGAGGTGCCGTGGTGGGGGCTGCAGAGGAGAGACCAGCCGGGGTCGGGGTCCTGAGCCGCTTCCAGGAGGGGCACCGGACGGCTGAGTAGAGAGAAACCCAGATGCGCCCTGGGTGGGGGGCGGGGGGCACGCCTGGGTTCTGCCCCTTCCTTACGGCTTGCGCATGCGTTGCAGCTTATGGCCGCTTTCCAGGTGCGCTGGGCTACATGGGCCAGCATTCCCCGGTTGGGAATGCTGGGTTTCGTAATCCAACACATCTGCAGGGTGCTAAATAGGTCAAAGCTGGCCTGAACATATGGGCGCTTTCAGGGAAGTACCCATAGGAAGTCTCTGGAGCTGGACTCTCGGGTTGCGCATAGTGCCGGGTCTTGCGTGACCCGAACCCCGTGGGATCGAGGCCCCGTCTGTGGCAAACACGCGTGTGACGCCCTGCAGGGTATTGTGTGGGAGGGACCGAATGGGCTGGCTCCTCATTTTGGTCTGGACGCGGTTTTGGAGCGGGGAAGGAAGGGGAAAGGGTCTGCTTGTTTGTTTTTAAGTTATTTATCCATGGGTGCCTGTAAGAAAAGCTCTCGCCTTTGCAAGGTCTTGTCTCGTTTTAATAAAGCTAGCGTTGTGCAGGGCATCGTGTCACATTTCCAGAACTCCTCGACTGTGCCGTGTTTTCTTTCTGAAGGGTGGGCTCTGCACCCCCTCCCCCGGCCAAGGGATTCCTTCGCCTCACGCTTGGCCTCCAGTGGAGTTTGCATCGGATTCAAGCCCATCGCGAGACGGGAGACCCCGTCTCGGGCCAGAGGGTTGTCAAGTGACTGGATTCTTGTGTCCAAGCCCTGGGAAGGTCTCGGGAATGGTGGTTCCCCTCCCCCAGCCTGCAGCCGAAACCAGGGCTGGGGTAGGATAAAATAGGAAGCCCCTCGCGGGCCAAGCAAAGGTCATCTGACCCATTGTAGGCATGTCATGAGTGGAGCTGGCTGGAGCCGGGGGTCAGACTAGATGGCCAAGGAGACCCCTTCGGGCTCACTCTGTTTCTTTGACCCCTCCCCACCAGTACCTGGTGAGATGGCAGCGCACTGGAAATGGTGGCCCATAGGAAGAATTGACTAAGACGATGCTAAGCGGATTGACCACCTCAGAGAGGAAAGCCAACTCATAGGAGACCCATCATGCTGAAATGGCTGGGTGGGCACAGAAGCAAAGAATCTGGGGGGGGGGGTTAGGCTACTTTCCCCCCACGTTGCTTTTCGGGGAGGCTGAACGGAACGCCATCCGTCTTGATTCACCTGCTCCCACCACGGGGCCTTCCCCAAACCTCACATGGGTCGGGGTACATTCCCATACACCCCCGCCCCCCAACAAAATGCAGTTTTCCTTTGTAGATTACAGTTTCATTAAAATGAAAATATGTGCAAATCTAGCTGGCCAAGGCAGGTTGCTCAGTGCGCTGCCTGATCGGATGACAGAGAAAGGAACACAATTTGCAGGTATGCAAATAGATCCCGGGCAGAACCCAGCTGCCCGTTTTCTGAACCATAACCTGTAATTGTAATTTTAAATGTTAATGTTGCTTTAAGGATGGGGTTTTATTTGCTGTAATTTGGCGTCTGATGCTGTACTTTTATTTTATTGCATTACCGTCCTGGGACGTAGTGAAGGATGGTAGAGAAAAGCTTTTAAGTAATTGCTTAATTGAGCAATCAGAGTGGAAATGGAGGCCATCCACGCAGCCGCTGGCCCGCCCCAGATGCAGCAGCGCCCGGTGCAACGGACAGACGAAGCCCCTGAACCGCGACATCTGTGTCCGTGGTCTTGTCCTGGCACGAGCCCCCCCCCCCCCTCAGCCCGTTGTGACGCGCTGGAGCTGGCGGAGCGCAGGGGAAACAGCCGCCAGCCTGTTCGGACCAGCCGTCCTGCAGATCACCATCCGTTTTCCTGCTGGGCTGTTTTTACCCTGGCCCTGGAGAGCCGCTTCCCTTGGAGGGAGCCAAAGGGGGCACAGGTGGGGTGGGAAGCAGCGCTGCCTGCAGCCCTAAGCCGCTTCCATCCAACTCTGGACGCACGCCGAAAAGCGGGGTGCTGGGGGTGGCCGGCGTGCCCCTTCTGAACCGGCTTTCACACAGAGGAACAAGACCGCCCACCTGAACGCCGTTTTCCCAGTGGCCCTCCGGATCCATATTTTGTTTTCCCCTGGGCCATAGTGGGGAACTCTCCACTGAGAAATGCCTCTGAGCATGCACAGAACTATTTATTTCACCTGCCAACAACAAAAGGTTTTCTGGGCCGATTACACAGAAACAGAGCGAGTCAGAAGGGGACTCCCGGGACATCTAGTCTGACCCCCGGCTCCAGCCGGCTCCTCACACAGCATGCCCACCATGTGCCCATTCAGCCTATCCTTGAACACCCGCACCGATGGGGCCTCAGCGACCTCCCAGGGAAGCCCATTCCACACCCTCGGGGTCCTGTCTGTCAGGAAGTGCTTCCTGGCATCCAAATTGAACCCTGGTTCCTGGTAAACCAGATTACCTGGTAAAAGGATATCAAACAGCATGCTATAAATACAGGAAGCTGTATTGGGTCAAGGACGGAGGTTTATACTGAGCAGTCTGCCTGGCACCCACCGGTAGCTACAGCTTTCCGAGTTGTCAGTCAAGTCTGTGCCTCTCTTTTCTTGAGATGCACTCGGGAGGGGAAGCCAGCGCCGTCTGCATGCAGAGCAAGGACTCTACCACTGAGGAAGTGACCCTACCACTCTCCGCTCAGAAATATCATTCCAGCACACTAGGGACAACCCGAAGCTGTAGAACCAGGAGTCTGAGCACTAGCAAACCTGGGAGAAAAAGTCTTCTTTACCTGATGCTGAAAAGATGTGGCGGGGGCGGGGGGGGGGAAGGCAGGTGAGCTGGCTTGGGAATTAAAGCAGTGGGGTTATTTCCACCAAGCCGCAACCAACCGAGCCATCGCTGTCAGCGTTAATTTTCAAGGACGCCTCTTCCGGCTAAGCATGCGCAGAGTGCGCCCACCAGAGCCGCAGGGCTATCGTGCGCTCAGCTCTGCGTGCCAGTGCCTGGAGACCCCTGAAGCGCCCACGCTTTTATTTCGAGCCGCGGAGCTCCAGGAGGGACGGGGGGTGCCGGACTGGCCCCTCGGAGGGTCCAAGCAGCTCTCCCCTCGCTGCGCTTCGGGGTCGGCATCATGGAGCAGCTCGGCCCGGGCTGCTTGCGAAGCGCTTCGGACGCGCCGCCCTGTGCCAGCTCAGCATCGGGGCCAACCCTTGACCCCGGCAAGCTCGCTGACCGAGCATCAGCGCCAGGGGGGCAAGCCCCGTCACGGGTGGCCAGCGAGGGCTTATCTTCGTGTTCGTGTGGGTGAAAATTGCCTAGCGGGGGCACGAGGTTGGGAGAACATGTGCAGCCTGTTTTCCCCTGCGAAGAACCTGCTGAGTTTGCCTTCCGGACAATGTTTAACAGGAGCGAGGCACTGGGCGAAAGAAGCTTTCCTCTGTGCGCTGGTCATTCGGCACCTTCATCCTCCCCATGTGCTGGACACATGCTGGCTGGGGCTTGTAGTCC